AGGCATCTGATTTTACCATACCATCTTTACCAATAGATATCTATCTATTAGCCTTAGATCATCTCGAAGCCCAACTATCAAATCTTTCAAAAGAATCCATTTATCTAGTTCCACTCCGAGAATTTCGTTGAAGGAGTTTTCTACAAATCCTCGTCGATTCCTCCTATCGAATCAGTTCTGAATCTGGTCCTCAGATTCACCCTTCCGCGTGAGTCATTCCTCCCTAAGGATACCCTGGATTCTGTCGTGTTCATCGCTTGCGCTTTCCACTCGACCTTCTGGCCTGTTCTTAGGCGTGCCTTCCCACAAGGAACCCTGCCCTCCAACGTGTTAGTTGGATTATCCACTGGTCTACGGATCTTGTTCTTGTCATTCATTGACAAGATCCCTGTTTACAGGCTACTTCGTGAACAGCTGTTCTCGAGGATTTTGACCGGCTTAGGGTTGACCACCTATCATCCGTAATCCTACGGTAAGCCGCCGCTCCTTCTATATCTCCTAATCCTTCCGGAGGAATAAGTAACTCACGTTCTTATTCCCCTGTCCTATCCTTATAGCAAGATCCACGGATCACCTATTTCTCGTAACCAGAGCAATAGTACGTCAGGGCCTCGAGCACCGTAAGTCTAGACCTTACTTGCTCATCAGTAGATTAGCCACCCTGACAACACACGTTCGAGGGGGTGTTATGAGAACCCTTTGGAGAATTGGGACCAGGACGCGTATCCACATTGCCAGACTGCCGGTATGTAGACATGATCAATTAGTGTGCCATGGTTCAAGCTCACGTGATCCATACAAAACAACATCACCAACCTGGACAGGTAACGTGTTAGTTACGTTCAAACCGGTTAACGGTGACCAGGTAGGGCGGGAGTTTGGCATCGACATATTCAACTGGATCAAAAAAGAGATTAAACTAATTGTTATCTCTGGTACATTGAGACGGGATAATGGAGGGTAGGAACATACTGGATTGTATATGAGAAAATTTTTTGTCGCTAAAAAGAATAATGTAAGCGACTCAAATCACACTCGGATAGCTACCTAAAGAGTATCAAAAACACTCACGGAAATATGGATTGATGGTAAAAAATTATAAATGTTCAGGTGGCTACCAGGAAAGTTGTCAGCTGCGAATATAAAAACCAACACCTTGAAGCAAAGAAATAAACTAACCACGCAGATGCGGATTTGAATAAGTTGACTGAGGAGGGCGAATGGAGGGCTGGATATATGCACAGCGTATATATAGCATATAGGCTGGTCCCCTGCGACCTTTCACAGAAAGTTTACTTCGAAAGCCATAGCTCTATCCTGCGAAAGAAGCTCATGAAGGTTAGTCAGACGAGGCCAAATGGACAGAAGTGCCTTTGGGTGCAAGATCAACCACTTCCGCAACCTCGTCAAATCGAATGTTACACGTCCAATTCGTCAATTAGTAGGGAAATAAAAAGATCCAGAAAACGTATCTTTTTATTTCCTTACTACGCAGTGCAACCGATCTGGGGTCAGGGAAAGAGCAACATCATACCCTCATGATCTGTGATTTGAAGCAGTCGTGCCTGACTGAAACCCTGTGAGGCACGACTTGAACAAAACAAGTGAATCGCCAATCGCATCACGTATGGCGTCTCAGATTGAAAAATCAGGCCAATTTGACACTCGTATGTGATCAAACGTGAAAAATGATTCGGGTGGGTACTACAAAGACCTGGGAATCTGCGCCTGGTCCTTAATACGCTCACAAAGATAACATAATTAGACAAACGGTCAGGAGAATTTTGCACTCCGAGTTTTGCACTACGTATGAAGTGTAAAAAAGTTGTAGTGTAAAATTCTATCTGGTTTGCTACAGATAGAATTTTACACTACATTTCAACGAAATTGATAAGTGTAAAAAATTGTGTGTAAAATATAGAGTGTAAAATTTCATATTGTTGCCAATGAGATACAATTTTACACTTCATGTTTTACGACTTATCATGAAGTGCAAAATCCACATGTGCAAAAGTCCATTTGACCCCTTCGATCTGCATTTTTGCACTTCAAAAGCTTGCACTTCAACCACAGTGCAAATGTTTGAAGTGCAAAAGTCCTTCTTTGAGGCGGGTTAGATGCAATTTTGCACTTCATTTTCAAAAGTGTTTACACTATATAGGCTAGTTCTCCATTTCATTTCAAAGCGAAAGTACTTGCCCACAGTTGGAACATTCCTCAAAATTAATGAGATGGTCCTTGCACATTGAGACCAATTATTTGATTGTTATGAAATGTGCCCATTCTGCATCAGATTCGCACAATTATTTCAACCTAATCTCTTTGAAATTTCTCAATACTTTCATTCATTCATCAATCTTCAGTCCACTTCACAACTTAATTCATCTCATCCAAATCGAATAGCGTCCATATTTTCTATCTATCAATTGTCATATCCACGAAGACCTTGAATTCAACTCAATTGAACATCTTTCACTCCAAAATAACTATCTATTGATATTAATATATCTCATCAGCACATTACCAGTCGGTTTTCAATGTCAGACAACAACGAAGGCTCTCTCAAACCCCCATCCCCTCAGTTGACCCAGAGCCAAATAGTAGACACAGCTGTTTCTAATCCATGTGAAGCCAGATCAGATCCACCTGAGGCTGGAACAGCACTTGTAAAAGGCAAGGCAAAGCGTCGCAAACGCACGAAGACTGGAAAGCGATTCAAAGTTCCCAACCCCTACAGCGGCGAGCACCATACCTTCATTGATGATGGATGTAAGACTGATTCTCAAGGGTATCCCATTTGTCCAAATGGAGAGACAGTGTTTGTTAAGACGGCTCGTGAGGCCATTACGAATTTTGGCCATATCGTGTATCCTCATACTCAGAAAACTTCTGGAGCAAAAGATGATGCACCTTGGAAGACAACGTGGTACACATGTCTAGGTGTCTTGGATTGTGATAACGACACCTGCCAATATGCTGGACCTACACCCACTGGCGATGGGAAGGCAGCCGAACTTATAATGAAGTAAGAACTATCATAATTACTTATTGATATTTCAGCAGACTGACAGGCCAACGTTTTAGGCATCCTCAATGTCCTGCTGCCGAATGTCATGGTCAGCACCGCTGGACAACTTGCACCACTTCCAGCTGCCGTGTTGATGTCGAAAAAGACACAGGGTGGGCTATACTTCGACACTCAGGCATTCACTCTCACGTCTGGGCTTTGCCAAAGAAGGCTGACCCGCTTGCCATGGAGGAAATGGCTGCAGAAGTTGTGAAGAATCCTAAGGCTGGTCCGATGGTGCTAAAGGTGATACCAAGTCTACACCTATTGAATTCCAATGTGCCGCGATTGACTTTTGAAATATTTGTGTGCTAGGTTGGCCAAGCTCGTGCAGGGCAGAACATCACCCCTTCTGTTGGCGAAATTCATCCAGCATTTGCCCATAGTGGTCGCCTAGGATACTTGAGGCGCGAGATTCTTAAGCAAAAGGGACTAATAACTGAACAGGAGAGCAAAGGTGGAGGAGATTCTTTTATATTAAATATAATGCACTGGGGAAGGTGTGCTCCTACCACTCGCCTATTTTCACATTGCATCAATTGCTGACCATTGTGTGCGGAGTAGGAAAGGTCTTCGATTGATTTCATCAGCACTTACTGGTCCTAATATACATCACACTTTTCAAAGCGAATGGATGGCTCAAATGCTGGTCCGCCGTGATCCTGACACCAAGAAGGTTTACTCTGGAGGCCTTCTCTCAGATGTCACTTACCGCTTCTTCAAGAACGGCTACCTATTGACCACCTCAATGTATAGTGACCGTATGCACCGCTGGATTCCTGTACAGCTCACATGGATGGCTCATCTCGACGTAGCCCATTACCAAGGACATTTCACATTGCTCATGAAGCAAATGCGTGATGCAGAGGACATTACACCATTTGAATGTGATCAGCTGGTTCGGCAAGTGGTTGACTTCTCCTCTGCGCAGAAGAAAGGATTTGTCAGTGCCTATATGGATGTTTTCAACGAACGAGACCCAGACAAAGCCATGTCCAAACTGAAGGGATGTCGCGAGCACTACCGCCAATCTATCACTCGAATTACACGCAATCGTGGGGTGGTGCCGGCAGGTGACGAAGTGGGTTTTATCCATTTCATCTAGTATGTAAGTTCGAAGGCTGATCAAAGATTCAATTCACCAGGACACTTTTGCTCGAATGGCCAATGAACTCCTTGAGCCTGACAAGCCTAATGGGTTCACTCTAGCTCAAAGGTTTGATCTTCTTGGAAAGGCCTTCCCAGCAGCAAAACCTTGGATTGCATGGTGGAACACAGCTGATATTGAGGCTATGTTATTTTGTGCCCGTCGGAGACTTCCTCTGGATGATCCTCCGATGTTTGATGAGGATGGAAATGAGATCC